TCCCTCCCGCCTGCAATAAATCCCCTCCTCGCCGCTTGCCCTCCCCAAGAGATCAGACCGGGAGCAATCTGTGCCGGCTGGGGTTTTATTATTTATTAATCCGAACTTACAAAAAAAAAAAAAACCAAACAAAAACCAAACACAAACAAGCATTTTCACACCCTGTCAAGGTCAGGGCAGAGGGAAGGGAACAGGAGGCAGCAATGGTTATAAAACAGGACCCTGGGGTGGGGCAAGGAAGAGGCCATGCTCTGCCCTCGTTACGCAAGGCTGCGGAGAGAGGAGGGAAGGGAATCAAGATGGGTTTTAAGACTCTGTTGGCACAACACCGCAGATGATCAGCAAAATGGTCTACTTGAGGAGGTGGTGGAAATGGAGCGGCTGCCCAGGCTTGCCTGCAGCCAAGAGCAGGCAGCACAGGCTCCGCTGCAGCAGAACCCAGCAGCTCCTCGGCTGCTTCTGAGTGCCTGCCCACGGCCACACCAATCCCTTGGCACAGGGAGGGCAGGGAAGCAGCTCCTGGTCCAGTTTAATTGCGGTGGGGCCAAGGCAGATGCCAAGGCAGGTTTGAAAGCTGAAATAGATGCAATCCAGCTGGCAGAGATGAGCTGGAGGACAGGGGGGAAAGGGAGGGGGGCCAGGACTGAGAGACGCCTGGCAGGCAGCAGCAGGCACAGAAGCCGGCATACGTGGAGCCTGCAGGATGTTGCTCCCACCTGTCCTGTGGCCAGGGATCATCGGTGGGTGGCCTGCCCACCACCACGAGGCAGGTTCCCTAATGCTGAGCTCCGTCTGACCAACCAGCCAGCAGCCCTGCCAGGCAGATGGGAGGCTGGCACACATCAGCCACTGGTTAGCTGCGGGAGTGCACTATTTACAGCACAAGAGCCACAGTCCTGCTGTCTTCTCCTCCCCCAGAGCCCTGGGAAGCAAGCTTATGACACATGGGTTCATCACAAGTAATCCAGCCCTCCTCTTGGGGCAAGCACCACAGTGGCCCAGCTCCAGCCGCTGCCTCTGCGCCAAAGGAAAGGAGAAGCTCGCTAAGCCAGCCGGATGCAGAGCCAGGAGCAAGGATGTGCTGGCAGGGAAGCAAGCTGTCCCCGGGCTACCTGCAGCTGAGTAGCAGTCTTAAGAGGGGATAAAACAACTGGATCAGCTTTTATTCAGCTCACTCATCTAAACAGACGTGTAAACAAGAAGTGACAAGAAACTGGAGGGATGAG